TTGTTGTTGTTGTTGCTCTTGTTCTTGTTGCCGTCGTGTTGATGATGCTTGTTTTTGTTGCTGGTGCCTGCTGCCTGGTGCTAGTGTGGTGGCTGTTGTGGTTGTGGTGGTGGTGCCCTAATCCAGATTCAGAATCCAGGGGCCATACCCGAACAAGACCACCGACATTTAAGATGGATTGCTTCATGATTTATGGATTTAGGCTTTGGGATCCGGGTTTCAGGGTCTAATTAGGCTAGCCTAGAGTTTACGGAACGGTTTGGGTGTGACGGCTGCAGTCTAGTTGTCTGAGGCATGCGATGTAGAAATTGCGGTTTAGGGGCCTGCTGTATGTTGTGTCGGCTCGGTGGCATAAGCTTAAATAGCCAGGGCGTGTCCCCTTAGGCTAAACCCTAAACCCTGCAAAGCTGGTTGTTTGCAAAGAGTCTGCTCCTTGCTTGCTCAGGGCTTTGGGGGTTTCTGGTACAGACGTCCTATGACGGTTAGGTTTTTGAGCTGTCTTTTATGTTCTTTATTCCTCTACGACTCTAAGCCCTACGTTCATTTTCAAACCCTAAACATATGCCCTAAACCCTGTACTCCAAAGCCTAAAACTTAATTACTGTGCATGTGAGCAGCTGCCACTCGACGGACTTTCTCGAGGAGAAACTTTGACGCCCCAGGAGAGTGAAGCGTCCAAGAGGTTTGCTGCTTTAGGGGTTTATGGGTTTAGTTCAGGGGCTTGTTAGGGGTTCAGGCGTTTAGTTTAGGGGTTTATGGGTTTCGTGGTTTAGGGGTTCCGGGGTTTCGGGGCTAAGGATAAGGATTGAGGGTTTAGGATGTTGTTCCTGCGTTTTGTGTTTCTGGGGTTTACGGAAATGGGCCTCACAGCGCGATCTTGGTCCGAGCCCTACAAAACCCTTAGCCCTAAAGCTGCTTCACTGCACGGCGTCGACATTCGAAGCTGCTTCCGTCGAAGACGAAGGCGACGAACCACTGACACGACAATCGTGGTCGGAGTAGACCTAGACGTCCCTGAGCATTCCCTACGCCCTAAACCCTGAGTCCTTATCAAAACCGCCCTTTATTCGGATCCTATATGTCATATTCCCTAAGGGTCCATGTATCCAAATAGATATACTTTGGCCTTAAAGTAGTCCCTATTTGGGTACTTTGGGGGCTATGTATATCTATTTGGCTACATGGACCCTTAGGGATTTTGGGTTATAGGACCAAGGTTTCTTAATCAGGTTCAGGTTCCCCTAAACTCGAAGCCCTAAGCCCTAAACATCCCTAAATCCAAAACCCCAGGCCGCCTTCTTGTGAAAGCTTAGAAGCACTGAGCACAGATCACCCCGAAGCTGAGGGTAGAACCTGTAGAGTTTCATTCTTTAGGGTTTAGGGTGAAGAGTCTAGGGCTTAGGGTTGAGGGTTTAGGGTTTAGGGCTAAGCGTTTAGGGTTTTGTTTTTAGGGTTTAGGGTTTAGAGTCTAGGGCTTATGCTTTAGGATTTAGGGTTTACCTGGGTAACCCTGGGTGGCCGCATTTACGCCCCTACGTTTTTTGCTGTTTTTTTACGCTCCTATGGTTTGGCCTTGGATTTTTACGCTCTTTTGGGTTTTGGGTGTTTTCTGTTAAATATCTCCTATCGAGAACAATAGCATGTGGAATCATAGTAGGTCCATAGCAGAATTATATAAGAATAAGCAAGATTCCAAGTAGCACTGTGTTGAGCTCCAGAAATCCTCGAACCCCAGGACCCAATAGGACTTATGGGGGCTTATAAGGTTCGTAATTGATGCGATCGCACTGTCGCAGCCTGCAGCACTCGAGCAGGGTTTTGTTTACCTTCTTTCGGGTTTAGGGTGTTAACGGGTAACCGGGGAATATAGATCGATTATTATCGATTCCAGGGGTTTTAATTTGATCCCGCTCGAAGATCCCAGGAAAACTCCGAGAATTCATCCCGAAAGCCCTTTATAGGTTAAGTTGGCGAATCCTCTGAATGTCGTTTCTGCTCCTGCGGCGCTGCGTCGCTCGTCGGCCACAAGAAGGCTCGATCGGCCCTTCTGGGATGCCGGCACATTCAGTTCTATAGCCTTATTGAGGGTTTTTTGGAACTAGTCACGACAGCAAACCCAGCTTATCGGCAACGGCGGCCGTATACCTGCGCAAAACGCGAGAATGCGGAACCTTGGGTGAAACCCGGCGGGATAATCTTGCAATGTGTCCAATGAAATCCTCACATTGACTGGTACAGTTTCCGACAGGATTAAAGCAAAGCGATACATCTGGATGCGCAGCAGAAGATTTCAAGTCCTCCACAATGTGGTGGAGGTAGTGCAATTTGGGCACTAAGTTGAATAATAGCCGCTTATGATCCATTGAATATAGCACCAGGCTCGAGTAGCAATGCAAAAATCTGTAACCGGCTTCAGCGGCTTCCATTGCAGAGCTCTTGGGCATGAAAGCCCCTTCCGAGTAAAGTATGCGCATTGCAGTTTCCATACACATACAAGCCTCAGCCAAGTATTTCCAGGGCTTTTGCGAAGCAGGAAGATCAAGCATACCTTGATGGAATTATTCTTTCGAGGGCTTACACATGGTTTATATAGGGCCGTATAGGGTTTATGGGGCCGTATAGGGTTCTTAAGAGCTTATTACGGGGATGCTGTTGACTCACTTATAGGGTTTTCCAGAAAGAAATCGTGCTAAACAGGAGAATCCCAAGCCTATATTATAAATGATGCCGGCTAATTATCACCCCATAAAAAAAATTAAAACCCTAAACCGAGAAAGAAGCTAGCCACGGAGCAGCCACAGCACAAAGCCCATCAAAATCACCGAATCCTGTCCTTTGTTCCACCCACCACAAGCATATGTGGTGGGTGTTTTGGCACCAATAAGATCCAGACTAAGCTTCTGCATGTGCAGCGAGACTTTCTGTTCCTTGCAATGCTGCGCAAGATAGCGGTTCATATGTCGCATATTTTCCTCATTAGAGGTTCCACCACAATGCGGCAACAGCAAGCAGAGCCCACTCGCTGCAAACTCCTTGTATATGCCCATCTGCAAGATGTGGAAGAGGTCGGGTTTCAAGAAAGACGGTTGGTCAGGGCTTGTGGGGATTGCTCGGAGGATTTGCGGCAGCTCCGTCCAGGGCGCTGGGTTCCGGGCCCCCGTAGTTTGCATCCAGGCAGCAGCTTTATCAAAACATTCGAAGGCGATAGCTTCTGTGCCAGCAAGACACCACGGGCAGCAACCACTGAGTGGTTTAGAATTGGCAGTCTTGGCCTTCTTTCGGACACGGGTGAACGCTCGCAGCAGATTTGCAGCCTTCGCTTGGAAGACTAAGTCTCCCTTAAGGCCTATCGGGAGGAATCGCCAGATCTGCCCCTGGTAATCATAGCCATTCTCCCAAAGATCCCCACACCAGTCGGAAATAAACCCGAGGAGAGACTGAAGAGGTGCAGAATCCTCGATATAATACTTCTTCAGCAGCACACTCATCAGAAACCTTGTAGCCAGACTATGGCCCAGTAGGTTCACAGCAGCAGCATCCGTATCATTCTCAAGTTTGCGCTTCCTCGAAGATGCCCTGGACTTGGAAGTCCCCGCACCTATAGCAGGCTGAAATTGAAGGATCATGAGCTCCGACTTCTTATATGTGCGCCCGCCATCCCCATGAAGAACTAGCGGCACAAGGTGTTCTGTGTCCAGGTCAGTCATTGTTGCAATAGGATGGCTGGAGAATTGGTTCTTGAAGTTGTACCAAAAATCTTTCAGTACTGCCGGCGCAGATGCCAGGTCCGTACCCACAACACAATGGAATCGATTCAATTGTGCCAAAGTATCTATGAAATCCCTGGGGCGAAAACAAGGGTGCTTCTCGAGAGGGCCCGCTCCGATGTTGGCGTATGTCCATGGTACTGTCACTAGAAGCTTCGTCTTTACCAGGGCCTTGTAGACACCCGACTCCCCGTGACCATCAGGGACATCAGCAATAGCTCTGCAAGCGTCGCACAATGTATCACCATCGCTTTTGGAGGCTCTGGCCCTCTCGACGATGTTCTTTGCAGCAACCTGGGCGAGCACTGGCTTGTCCCCGGCAAGATAATATGGGTATTGCAGGGCAGCAGGGATTCAGCGAGTTTGTTATAAGGTCATTGTGTTGGCATTCCTAACACGTGCATGTGGCTTCTAGTCTCAAACACATATGATGCACTGCGAGGTCTTTTTTTTGGCTTCATCAATTCATTTGGCTTTGTCAGCTCAAGGCAGTCGAGAATGGTTTCCGAGGCTTTGGATTTGTGGCTTTGGCGGGTATTTTCTACTTAATCGCTGTTTCTTCCGAGGTTGGGTTGGGGATCGAGACCTTAAGGATCGCATCATTATCAAGAAACCTCAATTGAAGCCCAAAACCATCTTCGGGTTTATAGGGTATATAGGGGTTTCGGGGCTTAGGGTTCAGGGGCTTAGGGTTTAGGGGTTTTGGGTTTAGGGATTCAGGGTTTTAGGGTTTAGAGGTTTAAGGGTTTAGGGTTTAGTTTTTCTTTTCGGGTTTAGGGCGAACCCAGCATAGCTCCCCCACCTAAGACCCCAGCCCCTTTGCCGTAGCTGCGCACATAGTCACGTGCTTTGCGCGATGCATCGGCGAAGTGATCCAGACCTGGCATTCTTGTAGTTCCACAATTCAGACTGGAATAGGCATGCATGCTTCAGCAGGCATTGGCAATGAATCACATCAAGTGAAGAAGTGCTTCGGCCCACTCAAAGTGAGAAGCATGCATAAGCACATTTTTCCACTTGTGCACAGAGTCCTGCCCCAAAATCGTGCCGATGCTTCTGACAACACATCCATGCTATCAGGTTGCAAACGAAGGGAACTCAGGCTTTAGCCTTCTTGGCCTTGGCCTTAGGTTTTTTTTTGGCCTCTGGCTCCGTTTTCTCTTTCTCCTCCATGTCCTTGCGCTTCAACGACCTTAGGGTTCAGAAGGGGAGTGATACAGAGGAGTCCCTATATATTTTGGTTATATTAACCTATATACATGCACCTTAGGGGGCCCTACAACCTTAAGGGAAATCTTCAAATATACATGATATACGATTATCTCCCGGACATCATCGCTCGACTTGGAGAGGGCACTCGGGTTTTCAGTGGGTGTGTAATCAAGGAAAGGGTTGTGGGGGTTTCAAACATTGTCTTCGATGTTGAGAAGCATCCCTCGAACTTGAAACACCCGGAGAGGGTATTTGGATTTCACAGGGCTTGTAAGGAAATTATCGGTACAAGGTTTTCTATGTAAGGTTTCGATAGGCATACTTGATCTTAATCGAATATAACTATCATCGGCTATATACGGCTTATGTCCGGGCCTCCTCGACGGGGATATCCGGCAAAGGGTTTATCAAATAATTAAGGTCGCAAGCAAGGTTTATACAGGGTATATATACCCTACAACCCTAAACCCCAAAACCCTAAACCCCTAAACCCTACAACCCTAAACCCTATAAAACTTATCCTACAACCCTATATAGTAATTGAGCTTCCCCAATCCCGGATGGGCTCTATAATGGAGGCAACCTCCATTGTCGAACCCGGAGCACAGATAGGGATTCTGAAAATATCGGTGAACCTCCAGAAAATCCGTATGAACCCATAAGACCTGTATAAAGAAACCAGGACATTAGATATTGGTCAAGCCACTTGTTCTTCAGTTCGCAGGACACGGCCAAAACACACCTCAGCACATTCTAACATCCCAAGTAGTAATACTCTTTTGCACTTCATTTGGATCATGAATTGTGATCAGCTCAGACATGCACTGGCGCTTCACGGCTTTGCTTTTCTCGTCCAGCTGCTGCTGAAGCCTGAGTAAGCAAACCAAACCGTTTGAAGCATGCTGGTACCCAAGTCCTTAATGCGAAAGAGAAGCCCCGAGCTCATGCCATTGACCTTCACCTCAGCCTGGATTCCTGCCAAGTCATCGTACAATGTGCCCAGCTTCTCGACACAGCCCTCCATGCTGGTGATGTCCCTGGGCTGCCGGATGTTGGGCTGGATGGTTTTTGTATTTCAGTTTCTGAGAGATGTATAATGCAACAAAAGTTCGAGCCATTTGCATTGTCTTTCTTCATCTTGGCAATAAGTTTGTCCAGCTTGCTGCGGGTTGTGAGGGCCTCGTCCATCAGCTTAGCGACCGCGGCAGCACCCTGTAGGGAGAGAGTAGGACAAGACTCCGACTCGAATTAAACCACAATTTCCCCAAAACTGTCCTGCCCTTGATCCTGCCGAACCCCGGCTGCACTTGGCCCATTCATAGCTTGATCCGGCATCGGAGCATCGTCCAATGCAGCAGCCGCAAAGCCAGAGGAACCCGAGGTGTCGCCCACCCGAGACTCCATAAAGCCATCGACCTCATTGCTGCCACGGGAGCCTTCGGTCCTGAAATCCACCCAATACTCGAGCTCGTCCACATCATATTGGTTCTGCCTAGGTCAGGAGTAAGTGATCCCGAACAACCCCTATAAACCCTAAAGCCTTAAACCCGAAAACCCCTAAATCCGCTAAAACCCTAAAACCCCAAAAGCCCCTAAAACCCTAAAACCCCGAAAAGTCGCCATGTGGTTTATGCATGCAACATGCATGCACATCTGTATCTTCCGGGCACAGAAGGTATATATATATATATTAAACAAGACATATAAACATGTATTATTAAGGATATCATATATATGTATATAAATTATATATCCATGCATGCTACAATGTATAATATGCACACATGGTTGTTTCTTTTTATAGACTTCTAGGACTCGAGATTCAACTCCTGTGCAACCACGGGACCGCACGAAGTTGTTCTTCTCACAGAACTCTTTCACCTTGTGCACCTTCTTCCTCGGCAAGAGATTTAAGAGGGTTTCTGGGTTCTACATAGACTACTTGTGGAGGCTTTGAGTGCATGCGGGATTCGCGCTGAAGGCGAGGCCTCCTTCACTCACAGGCTTCTTCATGTCGGCTTCACTGAACCATCCACCTTTGGTGGCGACTTTTCGAAACTGCTCCGTCTTCCGCCAGGACTCCACTTTCTGAGTGAAAGCCGCCTGTCGTGTCACTCTCTCACTCTCTCTATCTCTCTGTCTCTCTCTCTCTCTCTCTGTGTCTCTTCTGCCGAACAATGATGTCTTGAGTGAGCCTTGTCACCCTCGGCTTCGATCATGAGCTTGACCAACTGGATCCTCTTGTACCCTTTCTCCTTCCAGTCCTTTAAGAGGTCCGGGGCTGCCGTAAGCCTTCCAGTCGTCGTGGAGGGCGTGCACATCCTTCGAATTTTCGCTTCCATTTTTGCATACAACTTCTTGTAAACTTCGTCGTCCTCTCCTTCCCGGTCTGAGTCATCCTTTTCCATGCGGGTGGGGTAGGCAGAGTTTGGCCCTGCGGCGACGAGAGCCGAGGACTGCTTATTTTCTGGCGCAGCAGCCACAGGCTCCTCGGCTTCGGTGTCGGTGGTAGCGGATGTGCGGGTTGCCATGGATGCCACGGAGTTCAGTCGCTCGGGTCGTGTCTTCTCATCATTGGGGGTTGCCTGGGCTTATGCAGAGGTCAGCACGAATCGACACCCAAACATGAATCTTCTCGAACTCAATGCAAATGCAGCTAAAGAACACTCGAACTGTGCACAGACTCCGGTGCAAAGATGCTTGGCGTTCCCGGCTGCTGAGCCCGCTGTAAGTGCGCAATGATCTCATAGAGTTGTTTCTCCCGGGCCTCATATACACACTACTGATCCACGATCTTGCATTCTAGGTCTCTAAGATCAGCTGAGAACTCAGCCGTTTGGGGGGCTGGCATGTCATCGACACGAACACCACCATGGAGCAAATCCTATACAGTCCAAGCTTCAAGCCACAGAAAACAAACTTAAGCCAGCTTGTCCTGGATGTGCTGAGGCGTGCTTGGCTGGAACATGAGCTCGGGTGGCACGGCATCCTATCGGAGACATGCAGAAGCTTCCTTGGAGGTTTGGGGTGACTTTGGTTCCGTTTGTATCGACGGCTTCTGCTGGGATTCCAGGGGTTGGCTTTTGCGCTTTTGGGTGTTGTGGAGTGATCGAAGTTTAGGGTCATTTGTTCATTAGGGCTCCCTAAACCCTAAACCCTATATATAAACCCTAAACCCCGTGCTGCTAGAACCCCAAAGAAGACGAAGATGTAGGAATTTAGGGTTTATATTGGTGTGGTCTCTTTCAATCTAGGGGCACTCATCCAGACAATTGCAAACGGCACAAAACGGTCTCGCCTTGGACACGATCAAGCTCTTGTCTCCAGATGCTGGGGCCTGTTGCAGAGAGAGAGAAAGAGAGAGACCGAGCGAGAGAGAGAGAGAGAGGGAGAGAGAGAGAGAGAGAGAGAGAGAGAGAGAAGAGAGAGAGAGAGACAGAAAGAGAGAGAGAGAGAGAGAGAGAGAAAGAGAGAGAGAGAGAGAGAGAGAGAGAGAGAGAGAG